CATAGCCCTATATACCTATTGTCCCCGTGTAATTATTACATTTTTCTAAGACAGGGTCTCCCATTGTTGCCCTAGAGGTGCAGTGTGTACCTATTTGCTGTAACCTACATCCGGGATAACAAAGTCGTAGGCCTTTCTGCTTACTACTGTGATCTCTTCAACAACCCCTAACGACTCTTCGGTGTCAGGCGCAGAGCAGGACCCTAAGGAACTACTGGTTGACTGATCAGGCTGCCAGGAACAGAGGAGGAAACCGAAGCGTAGAGGATGGAGGTCTGTGGAGAGTCAGGTGTAGCAGTGAAGCATGCAGGAATGAGACTCGAGGGCCAGATTCCTGGATAGTTGGTTGCATCCTCTCCAAATGAGCGGGAAATAAGAGAGTGTGCACGCAGGGACTGGTCTCAGAACTCAGGAGCCTTCGCCAAATGCCGGACCTAGAAGGGGGAAAAACAAGCAGCGCAGAAACGCTTCATCTCTTTGGTATCTACCCTGTCTCAGCGAGGACTACATTTCCCAGCAGCCACCGCACAGCCCTGCCACGCGGCTTGCACCTCCGCCGTCGGCCCGCTGGTGGCGCTGCAGCGACCCCTCCGCCGCCCCGTAGAAATCTCCGCGGTCCCGGGGCCGCTTGCTTCCTGTTTGTCGGGCGAGGAGACATGGCGGCGGCGCCGGCGGCGGCTGTGTCTGGAGCCAGCCGAGGGAGACGGTCGGCAGCAACGGTAGCGGCTTGGGGCGGATGGGGCGGCCGGCCGCGGCCCGGTAACATCTTGCTGCAGCTGCGACAGGGCCAGCTGACTGGCCGGGGCCTGAACCGGGCGGTGCAGGTACGAGGCCGGCCCGGAGGGGCGGGGCGGACCAGGCGGGAGCTGGCGAGGGGCCGGGGGAGAGGCCTTTCCAGGCCGCTGCAGGACGTGCCAGACCCCTTTGGGCTGCCGCAGGGTCTCCTTGTGAGCTCTTCGGACATTGTCAGCTGCGGCGGGGCCGTGGGTAGCAGCCGGTTGGGGGCCCTCGGTCAAGGGCCAAGCGGGGCTAGGCAGCTGTGGGCATTGGTGGCGTGTACGAGCCCTGGGCCCATTTCTGGATCCTCCCTTCCCCGCGCCACGTCTACACACACGTCTGGGAGACCCTGGCGAGTTTGCTTTAGCCTCTGCGGGCCTCGAGTCTCTCCTGTGTGAATTGGGCGGAGGGGTAGGGGGGTGTCATCATTGCAGCCCCGAACGGTTCCCAAGCGTGTCATAAATGTCGTTTTCTCAGGCCTTTCCTTGACAACTCCCCGACCCCCTTTTTAAAAGGCAAGTCCCTGCTATTCTGTCACAGTCTTGAACTCGTTTCGTTCTCATTACTTTTTTAGTCTTTAATCCCATATTTCTTTGTTGTCCGCGTTTTTTTCTCACCTGTCTCTCACATTAGCCTGAGTGCCAACGGGCGCAGAGACTATATCTGTTTTGCCATTGTAGAGCGTCATGGTTAAGCGTGATGACTCTGGAGTCAGGCCTGGGTTCAAAGCCCTGCTCTCTCTCGCTTTGGCAAGTTACCTTTCTGCGCCTCATTTTCCTCATTTGTCAGATGGAGAATTAATAACCTAGTTTTTAAGGTTGTTGTGAAGATCAAAAGGGACAGTTGTGTAAAGCATGAATGCATTTCTGGTAAAGGCTGAAGAGTATTCAGTTAATACTACTGTTACGGTCAGTATCTAACTTACAATAGGTGCTTAACATATGGTTAATATTTTTTGTTGGATGAGGGAAGGATACTGCTTTAGGGTCAAGCAGAACGGGGGAAGACCTCATCTTTTCACTCCTCTAACCTGCCCCTCCCTAAACCTGGCAAACACATCTGTAAAACATTAGCTTTATCTGAAGGTAGCTTTTGCATCGCGTAAGAAACTAATAAAGTGGTTGGTGAGAGTGGGGTGGAAATTGGGCAAATGGAGGAGAGAATGGGAGTAAGACTTTTCGTGGCATTATTTAAATTTAACTTTGAATCATTTGGTTATTACTCAAATAACTGAAAGGATAGAATAAAATAAAGGTTAGGTGGTCTGTGTGTATGGAGGTTTACAGATGAAGGAGCAATGCTGAGTGCAATATTTCCCTGGGCTTGAGACAGCTGTAGATGAGCAACCTTTTTCCACTTGTGTTCTTCTCCATCTGCCATAAGAAGATCCTGGAAATACTTGCTTTTTCCTCCTTTAAGCCAAAATATCTTACTGAGCTGGGCATGTAGAGGCAGGCAGAAAGGGGACTAATTAGCCTTTAGTGAGCACATACTTTGGATGGTGCAAGGTATACAGCGTCTTTAATTAAGCCTCAATCCTTTGAATTAGATGTCAGGACTCATCTCTTAACAGATGAAGAAACTAAAGCTCAGAAAAGCTAAGTGATAGGTTCCTAAACACATACCCATCCTGATCATGTGTGTTCTGAGAGCAGTAAGGAGCTACAAAAGTTCTTTACCATGATGAATGAGGCAATTTTTTCTTTTCTTTTTTTTTTTTTTGAGACAGAGCCTCAAGCTATCCCCCTGGGTGGAGTGCCCTGGCATCACAGCTCACAGCAACCTCCAACTCCTGGGCTCAAGCGAGTCTCCTGCCTCAGCCTCCCAAGTA